TCAGGGTCACCTAGGTGGCTCAGTCGGCTCAGGTCATGATCCCAGCATCCTTGGATTGAGTTGTGCGTCACGCTCCCTGCAGAGACCCTGCTTCTCCCTCTGCCTGCTGCTCCCCCGGCCATTCCTACGATCTCCTCTCAGTTAATGGTGACTCCATTTTGCAACTGATCAGGCTAAGTAAGCACTGTGGTGTAATTCATTGGGCCTCTCCCTCCCACCTCACATTCAACCTATCAGAAAACCCTGCAGCTTTACTCTCAAAATACATTGAATTCAGCCCCTTTTCACCACCCTCATTAATCCGAACCACCTCCCCCACCTGGCTTCTTTAATAGCTTACTTACTGGTTTCCCTTCTTTGCCCCTAGCCTCTGTTCTTGACACACGGTGATCCTATTAAAATAGAAGTTTAAATACATATCTCAGATCATGCCATTTCACTGCTTAAACGTCTCCAATAGGTTCTCACCTCATTCAGAATAGGAACCATGGATTCCTTAAAATGGCCTATTAGATCCTACCTAGTTGGCCCTGTCATCTCCCTGACCTCTGCTCTTTTCCTCATTGTTCATGCTGGCCTCCGTTGCTGTTTTTCAAACCCACCAGGCACATTCCTCCTTTGAGGTGTTTGCACTCAGTGCTCCCGCTGTCTTCCCACAAATGAGGCCTGCCCTAGGCTACTCTCTAAAATTTAAGCCCCCCACGATTTTATATCCTTCTTCCCTGCTTTATTTTTTCTCCTTGGCACTAACGTACTATCTATTTTAGCTATTTATTTATTGTCTGCCCTCCTCACTGGGAAGGAATTTTCACAAGGGCAGAGATTTTTATCTGTTTTGTTCTACTCTGTGTCCCTAACACCTAGAACATTGGTACACAGGAAGCATGAATAAATATTTGTTGAATGAGATTTAACATATGCTTGGATTAAAGGAGGCAGTTAAGTCTGGACACCCCTTATACAGAACACAAAAGGTAAAGGAATTCAATGTTTTTGTTTGTTTTTTAAAGATTTTATATATTTGTCAGAGAGAGAGAGAGGGCTCATTCACAAGCAGGGGGAGCGGCAGGCAGCGGGAAAAGCGGGCTCCCCACTGAGCAAGGAGCCTGATGCGGTATGATGCAGGACTCTATCCCAGGACCCTGGGATCATGACCTGAGCCAAAGGCAGAAACTTAACCAACTGAGCCAGCCAGGCGTCTCTAACATTTTTCTTACGTTTAAAAATTAAATTTATAAACACTGCTTTTAAGGTTTCCTGAGCTCAGATATCCTTGCCATGCAAATTCACAGGTGCTCAGGGTTCAGAGTCATTTGTGGACAAGTGGAATGCAAACTGTAGCCCAGGGTTCAGGCAGCACTGAGCTTGCTGACCTTGGTGCTGTGGGTGGGGGCTGCAAAAGTGGTTGTGTCCTAATGAGCAGACCACCGCTTCTTCCTTTAGCCTTTCTTGCCGCAGTGGACTCCTGGTTCAAGGTCTTGCTGCCCAAGTTATATCCATGGCTCTACCATAATGGGGGCAACATCATTAGCATTCAGGTACAAGTGGACCGGGCAAGAGGAAGGTGGTGCCAGGGGTCCTAACCTCCACTGGATAGCTGAGCTCCACTCCTCCTTTTCCCTGGCAGGTGGAGAATGAATATGGTAGCTATAGGGCCTGTGACTTCAGCTACATGCGGCACCTGGCTGGGCTTTTCCGTGCGCTGCTGGGAGACAGGATCCTCCTCTTCACCACAGATGGGCCTGAAGGACTCAAATGTGGCTCCCTCCAGGGACTCTACACCACTGTGGATTTTGGCCCAGGTCTCCTGAGCTGGGGTGGAGTGGAATCTGGGGACTGGGCATCTCCTCTATGCTCATCTCTCATCTTTGCCTCCTTTCTGCAGCTGACAACATGACCAAAATCTTTGGCCTACTGCGGGAGTATGAACCCCATGGGCCACTGGTGAGGAGCTGGAGGGGAGGGCAGTCAGAGCTGGAGTCAGGGTTAGGAATGGGTCAAGCTCAGGTCCCATCCCGCTTACAGCTGCTGTCACTCCACGTTTTAGGTGAACTCCGAGTATTACACAGGCTGGCTGGATTACTGGGGCCAGAACCACTCCACACGGTCCATTTTGGCTGTGACCAAAGGCCTAGAAAGCATGCTGAAGCTGGGAGCCAGTGTGAACATGTAACTGGAGACACGGGGGCCAACATGAAGCCATTAACGGGGTATTGGGGGATCAGAGCGATTCAGTGGGTCAGCTTTTGCCTTTCTTCACCTTCCCCCACTTCAGGTACATGTTCCACGGAGGCACCAACTTTGGATACTGGAATGGTGAGTCCGCAGGGTCCCTGGGGTGGAATCAGGGAGCCATCAAGGAATTTGAATCCGAGGGCTGGGTAGATTAGGAGGTCTAGAAATTGAATGTGGCCACCACTGCCCCCACTGGTGGCAAAATTCTTTGCATGAATGTCTTTGCTTAGTGCCTATCATTTGAAAGACACTGAATTAAGGAAATTGGTTTGACCCCAGGTGCTGATGAGAAGGGATGCTTTCTTCCAATTACTACCAGCTATGACTACGATGCACCAATATCTGAAGCAGGGGACCCCACACCTAAGCTTTTTGCTCTTCGAAACGTCATCAGTGAGGTGCCCTACCACTTCATTAAGCGCCCAAGGCTCTTATTAATTTGGGGAAAGGGAGTACCTAAATTGTTCGTAATGGGATCCCATAAATCACTGGTGGTTGTCTGGGCCATGGAGCCCAAAGAACTGTTTCCCAGCTACGCAGATGGGACTACCTGGGAAGATAGACACAAGCATGTGCAAAAGTACAGGATCTTCATGACCCCTTGAAACCATTCCCTGGACCCCAGATTGAGAACCCTATGCTAGGGTCTTGGAATAAGGGTTGTTTGTTGTGGTTTTCCTATGGCTCCTGAGAGAATTTGGGCTCAGTTCCAGGAAATTCCCCTGGGACCTTTACCTCCCCCCAGCCCCAAGATGACGCTTGGACCTTTGACCCTGCAACTGGTAAGCTCTTCTTCATCTTTTCTGATCCTACCCTTTGTTCTCTAAATGGCCCAGCCTATCCTGCCCTCTATTCTGGAACTTTCCTTTTATTCTAATACCTTCCCCTTCTTCCAATAGGATGGGGATTTGCTGGCTTTCCTAGACTTCCTGTGTCCCCAAGGGCCCATCAGTTCAATCTTGCCAATGTCCTTTGAGGCTGTCAAACAGGTAAGGCAGAATCCCACATCCAGCAGGCATGGCAGCTTTCCTCAACAGCCATGGCCAAAGTTTCCTTCTGCCCCACACACCTTCCCCAGAGCATCCTCTCTTACCTCTCAGTTCATCTTAAATACTTCCTCTTCCATACCCAGGACCGTGGCTTTGTGCTATACCGGACCTATCTGACCTATACTGTGTCTGAGCCAACACAGTTCTGGGTGCCTAACAACGGAGTCCATGACCGCGCCTATGTGATGGTGGATGGGGTAAGGACCTAATTCTAGGCTACCCTTGTGAGCCTTTCTCTTCTCCCCCCCAGCATACTTTAGCCTTAAGTTCCCTGTATCTGCCTTTTCCCGCTGTCTGCCCACATTTGTTGGGGGCCCTCGGATAAGCTGGGATGAGGAAGAATTTAACTGAGGCTAAGGTTCCAGAATGCATAGGTAACCGACAGATGGGCTACGTTCTCTTTGCTCTTCAAATACGTGGGCTAACATAGCTTCCTCTGTCACGGCCATGAGTTAGAGGCTGAGGCCTTCCTCTCACAGCTCCTCTTATCTACAGGTGTTTCAGGGTGTTCTGGAACGAAATATGAAACACCAACTATTTTTGATGGGGAAAGTAGGGGCCAAACTAGACATCTTACTGGAGAACATGGGGAGGCTCAGTTTCGGGTCTAACAGCAGTGACTTCAAGGTAAGTTAGTTTTTCCCACCCCTTCTCCTCCGGACTCTTACTAACCAGACTCCCTTAGAAAAATAGGGGCCTAATAGAGGACAAACAAGAGCTTAATGAATGATGAGTTTTCATTTGCCTTCTTTGCAGGGCCTATTAGAGCCACCAGTTCTGGGGCAAACAGTCCTCAGCCAGTGGCTGATGTTCCCTCTGAAAATTGATAAGCTTGTAAAGCGGTGGTTTCCCCTCCAGCTGAAGAAAAGGTCACATCCTCAAGTTCCCTCTGGCCCCACTTTCTACTCCACAAAGTTTCCAATTTTAGGAGAAGGCGGGGACACTTTTCTCTCTCTACCTGGATGGACCAAGGTACTGCTGACAGTGGGGTCAGAGTGATGAGAGGAGTATCATGGAAGGAGGGGGGAACAGAAATTATTCCCTATTAGAAACCCAAAAGGGAGGGGCGCCTGGGTGGCTCAGTTGGTTGAGCATCCAACTCTTGATTTCAGCTAAGGGTGTGATCTCAGGGTCATGGGATCAAACCCCCGTGTCAGGTTCCATGCTTAGGATTCTCTCTTTCTCCCTCTGCCTCTCTCTGCTGCGCTCTTTCATTCTCACTCTCAAATAAATAAATCTTGAAAGAAAAAAAGAAGAAAGAAAAAGAAAACCCCAAAAGGGGATGATTCTACCCCCTTGAGAGCTGACCCTTTTGTTTTCCGCTCTTCTCTTTCCCAGGGCCAAGTCTGGATCAATGGGTTTAACCTGGGCCGGTACTGGACAAAGCGGGGGCCCCAAGAGACCCTCTACGTGCCAAGACCCCTGCTGTTCTCTAGGGGAGCCCTCAACAAAATCACACTGCTAGAGCTAGAAAACGTGCCACCTCAGCCCCAAGTCCAGTTTCTGGATAGGCCTATCCTAAACAGCACCCTGCATAAGACATACATCTATTCCCTCTCAGCTGATACACAAGGTGCCTCTGAACCAATGGAGTTAAGCGGGCACTGAGAGAAAGGTAACCCTTGGACCTGGGACACGGAGTGGGCAGGATTCCTTGGTGCTGGCCACGATGACCTCAAGGAACCAAAGGCCACAAGGCCCAAATGCTAGTCCAAGTGCAGCTTCCTTGCCAAACTTTATTGTGATTAAAATTCCAGAGACAGTCCCAGCTCCACACTCCTCTGTGGCCCTGTCTTTGCCCGGGTTCCTGAGTGTCCTTCCTAATCTTCTGAATACTCCACTTTCATGGGAAAGAAGAAACCTAGGGCTGGCGTGAATGTAGCCTCTCAGGGCCGAGCTGGCTCCAGGTGCAGCCGTGAGAGATCAGGAAGAGGGCTTGGCGGCCTGGCAGCGGTGGTCCCGAAGGCAACGTGTGGAGCAGAAAGAGAAGTCGAGATAGTGAAAGGGAGTGAGGCCCCGGAGGGATGTCCCGCAACTCCAGCAGCGTCTGGACAAGAGGAAGACAGATGGTTGAACAGGTACCCCAGAAACTCTCCAATCCAGGCTCTCCCCACCCCTCTGGCCATTTCTGGTTTGGCTCTAGAGGGTTCCCAGAACATCTCCAGCCCCCCAGTGGCCTTTCTGAGTAGGCTGCAGCATTCAGTCTGCTTGCTCGCTCCTAGCCGAGCCATCACGCCCGCCCCCGCACTTACGGAGCACTGCGGTCCACGGAGCCGGGGGTCCGCAGGGTGGGGACGCCCAGCTGGGCAGCTAGCCGCTGCTCTGCGGCCAGAGCCCTCTGAGGGAAAGAGAAGTCTTGTTAAGGACAAGGCCCCAGTGGTGGGCAGAGTACCCAAGAAGGGACAGCTGCACGCTGGGAACGGGTCAGACCTCAAAGGAAATCAGGGCTGTGGAGGAGAGCAGCTCGGGCCTCACCTTCTCACGATCACTGAGGGCGGCAAAGCGCTGCTGCTCTTCCCGCTCCCTCTCCTCCTGCTCCCGCTGCTTCCGCTGCTGTTCCCCCCGTTGCCGCCGGGCAGCCTTCTGCTCCCTTTTCCGCATAGCCTGCCGTGCCTCCATTTCGGGCGTCAGCGGCCCTGGCACCTGGAGGATTTCCGGGGAGGTGTAAGGTAAGACCCATAGAAACTGTCCTTGGGAAAACTTGAACAAAGCAGAAAAGATTTTAGCCTGGATCTAGGCTGCCTTCCTACTGTGCTGCTGCTTCCTTTTCCAGCTGACCTGAGCCTTGCTGTAATCGTAAGCATCTGGATTCTTCTCCATGAACCTTCGGAACTCATTTCGCGTTGACCTGTCAGCTGCAACCGTATATGGTGGCCGGGCCCGGGAGTCCCTAGGTGCGAAGAGCCCCAAATATGGGTTCAGCTTGCCTCCTGCATCTCCCAACCTCACCCAAACAGATCAAGGGGAATTCTGTCAAGTAGCCAGTACCAACGTTAGCCTCCAGATGATCCTCTCTATACCCCCAAAGGGCTCAGCTTGGAGACCCCTACTTACTGCACGGTAGGGTCGGCACCTGCCTCCAGCAGCAGGCGAACCACTGAGCCTCTCCCAGCTGCAGCTGCTGCATGTAGGAGGGTGAAGCCACTGGAGCCCCAGGGGGCACTGAGCAGAGACAGAACTCCAGGGTCTCTGGGGCCGGCAGCTAGCTGGAGTTCCAACATCCCAACGTCTCCGGCTCGGCAAGCAGCTAGAAGCATGTCCCAGAGCTCTGACCGATCAGGGGTCTTGGCCTCATCCAGGGAAGGCCCCAAAGGGGCCGTGTGTGCCTGGGCGGACTGTGAGAAGGCTTCATCATCTTGAGGTTGCTGAGGAAGAGTCACATGTGCCCCAGCTTTCAGGTCTCGGCTCCTCTCCTTATTCCTCTTCCTCCTCCTCCGCTTTGGCAGTACCTCAAACTCACGCAGATCCAGGGTCCCCACTGTCAACTCTACTAGCTCCAACTCTACCTGGGGGCTGTCCTCTCCCTCCGACCCTGAACCTAGGGAAAAATACGACATGTTTGGTCCACCTGAAGAAATACACAGGGTGGGCTGCCCCAGATGTATAAGAATGTACATAAAAAGAGAATCCAGATTGTCTTGAAATGAAAAATATTTGTATTTTGTCACCCGAGATCTGTATCCATTAGTACTGAGTGCAGAAATGAGGCTCAGCTCAGAGGGGAAAGACCCAGAAGGAGCTATGGAGGGTCAAGCATTCTTAGACTCTCCCCTCGAGCCGCGTTAGGATGGTACACAATGGGGGAGAGCATGGAGGCAGCGACAGCCACTAAGGCTAAGAGTATGAGGCCGGGAAAGCAGGCCTTAGCCCCAAACCACAGTATCTGGTAAGAAAGCAAATACGTGAGATTTCACATATTTGTGAAACCACAGCATCTGTTTCATGTACTATTTCATGCTGAGTACTGGGATACATCAGTGAACAAAAGCGAACAGGAAGTCTGGAAAGGTCCCTGACCCAGTCCCAGTAATTGCTACCAGGTGCCCCTTATCATAACGACCTATGTGTTGTGTAGGGCTCATTATAAAGAGGGAAGCGACAGTAGATTTGACACTGCATTTCCGGGACAGTCACCCAGAGAGAGAGTTGACAGCTGCCAGATGGGACTCAAACCCTGTTTGGAAGATTCCTCATTCTGCCCAAGTGCCTCATTTTCATCACTGGAGACCTTTCTTTCTGCCTCGGTAGCCTTCTTCCCCTCTCTCTTCTTCCAGTGTGTCTGAGGTGAGTCCAACCTGTCTGCCTCCCGGGGGTCCTCTCCTGTCATAAAACAAAAGATGTTTCTCAAGTTGAGCTGAGCAGAAGCCAGCCCAGGTCTCTCGCAATGGAGTATACATGAGAACCCAAGGCCTGGGCTGGAAGATACAGAAAGGTCTAGGGAGTCTGAGGACCTGGATCAGCAGCTCACCGTGGATGTGCAAGGTGGTCAGCTTATGGAGCACATGCTGTAGCTCTCGGAAGGTGGGTCTGCGGGTAGCGAGGGGGATATCCCAAAGTCGGGGATCCCCCCGTTGCAGGGGTGCCCCATGGCCTCCGAAGAACAGGGACCGGCCAGAGCGGGGAGCATGCAGCAGTATCGTCCCAGCCTCCCCCAGCGCTTTGGCCCAGATTGGCCCTGCCAGCAGGTCACGAACATCCTAGAGAAGAGAGAAACTCAGCCCCGTGCAGCTTCACTTGCTATTTCTAAATCTCCAACCAAAACACTGGCCCAAAGATGACGTGTAAGGAATGGGACGCACAAGACAACAGAGGGGAAGAAGAATGAGAGGATGAAGACTCCTGGGGAGCCCTCCCTAGTCTACCTTCACCTTCCCAGAAATAATGAAGACCGGAGGATGCAGGCGTCAAGCTCCCCACTGTAACATTTGATGAAAGGGGACAAAAGGAGAGGAGCAGACCACCAGATCTGAGATGCCTAACTCACCTTGTATAATGTGGCTTCATTATAGCGCCTCAGGTTGGCTCCGGCAGAGCGAGAAGCCCCACCCCGGGCGTCCCGAATTCCCTGGGCTGTGCCCCGCTTGGCCCGCACTGTGTAGCGGTGAAAGGTTTTGTGGGTCACCACGTCTCTTCTGTAGACAACACAGACCCAGTGCTGGCAACTGGCCCGTACGCCCAGGCTAACAGGACCCACTGCATCCTTATACCCCAGGTAGCACCCTCTCACCCTTGGAAAATGGCTCCAGCAAAGTGCCCAGCTGCAGCCATGAGCACCACCCAGTGTCTGGGACCTCCGTTTTGCAGGCTGTGTAGGAGTAGTTCGGGTTCTTCTTGGGGCACCTGGAAGATAGAGGGAGAACACAGGCATGCCCATGGCACTCGCTGACAGGAAGAAACCCAGTGCCAGTGCTGAGTGTCTTAATATGCATGATCTCATTCCCTACAACCATCCTGAGGCTCGTCTCCCAGTTTTCAGCCAAGGAAATCTAAGGCTTACAGAGTACAGGTAGTCAAGATCAAGTGGTAGAACAATTCAAACCTAGATGGGTCTGTTTCCAAACTTAATTCCATTATGCCTGACCCCAGATTCAGGCCATGTCAATCCAAGACCGTGCTGTCAATGGTGAGACCCACATCCAAAAGGAAGAAAAGTAAGAGATGGCCTGGGCTTAGGGGAGACCTAAGCTGAGTGTACAAAGGCTGTAGTTGGCTATACAACCCGGGCTGCCACTTGCCTGGCGAGGGCCTAGCACACAGCGATAGGCATAAAGAAACTGGCCCTGAGCGTTCTGGAAAAGAACCCGATGAGGGTGGAAGCCTTGGGGTCTGCTGGGCTTCTCAAACCCAGCCCTCTCCTCATCTGGTATCTGCAAGCCATCCTCACTGGCTGAGTCTGAGTCCTCTGATCCTGAGATGCTGGAAAGATCTCCTGAAAACAACATGAGGTGCACAAGTTTGGTGTTCCATCTTTGGCCTTTCCTCAAGCTCCTAAACTAGAGCCTTCTTCCACCCCCATGTCCTACTCAACATGTCCTACCGGCCATCACCTGTGGAGCTCTGCTTTTCAAAATCCAAGGCAGACAGGAGAGGCTTGTCCTTGAGACGTTGCTTTAGGTTAAACCGATGCCAGTCAAGCTTATAATGTTCCCTCTGGTAGGACGCAAAGAAAGAGGCTGAATGTGGAAATATGCCCTAGCCTGGCCCTTTGTGGTACCCAAGACCAGTGATAGAATTCCAGGAAATATGACCAGGTAATACCAACTGCCTCAGTCAAAACATGGACCTTTATTAATTAAAGAGCTGTCACATGTCTCCCTCTCCTCATGCCCCATGATACTTTTGCTTCCACCCCTTAGCTCTGCACCTCGCTTTCTACCTGTTCCTGGTGGTCGTGGAAGGTCTGGTCACAAGTAGAACAAAATAACTTCTCTGAAATAGCCGGGAGACCCTGGAGTGGCTTTCTTTCTGGGCTTGATCTCTCCCCTGAACATAAATAAGGGGAGGGTAATCAGAGGGGGAAAGGGAGTCCAAATCTGCAGTACCTGGAATTACATTCAGGGTCTGGTATACAAAGGAGGATACAAAAGAAAAAGATGGCACATCCTTTCCTTCAAAGAATTATAATCTGGGAATCATGAGATAAATGGCACAGTAGTCACTTTTCTCAGTAAAGATATTATGTGAAACAGACATATATCAAACGCGTTAACTAAAGGGATTGTTTAGAGGAATCCTGTAGAAAATAATTTTTGGTAACGTTAAAATTATTTTTAACTGCAAAAACCACTTCCCAAACGCCCATTTTTTAAGCTTACATTTCCAATTACAGTGTGGTTTCTTTCAAACTTCAAGAAAAACAGCCAGAAACAAATTAAGGTTGTAAAAAACGAAATAAAAAATTGTTTTACATTCATTAAGAACGACTGATTTGATTGGAAACCAGTTAAATTTGGACTGTATCTAGGAATTTTGAAGTTTTTTTGCAGGCAGTGCTGTAAACATGACCAGACATAAGAAATGACAAGAGGCTTGTTTGCAAACAATTCGGTGGGCCTGTGTGGGAAACAACTCTGAGATTGTGGGAATTGAAGAAAAATTTTATCCTGTAGAAAGAGATATCAGCAAGGGCTCTTAAACCGGGTAATATCAGTAAGAATGTGTTCCCTGGACGAGCAATAAGCTCTAGCCCGTCACGGTCCTCGTGGTTCCTCCCCAAACCTTCCCAGATACCTGGACAGGAAGCCCGCAGAGCCTGGGCTAGAGCCTCCCCAGAAGGGCGGCTCACCAGGCTCAGGCCCTGAAGGACCGGAGCATCGGCGCTGAGGTCAAAGAGGGAGACCAACGCAGGAACCTGGGTTGCAGCTGAAACCGGCGACATGGCTGAGCAGAAATTCTTTAGGAGGACCTCCTGGAGCAGAAAGGGGGACAGAAACAGAGCTCCCCAGAGTGCGATCCTACCACCCGGTCTCCTGCCTGCCTGACTTGGTCTCCCCACGCCGGAAGGCACCTTGGGCCTCAGTCTGGTACCAGGAATCCGCTCTGGGGATTAATACGTGACCCCAGGCCGCTTTCTCAAACCCACAGTCTCGAACCACATAGAGTGAAAGGGGGAAACATCCAACTCCCAAATGGAGTCCAGTAGAGCCAAAATCACTCAGGTTCCCTAAGCGACCGCTCCTCGATACCCGTGCGATGAGCTCCAGCAATGACTAAACCGCGTGGACTCGTCCGCGCCACCAGAAGCGGCACCAAAGGACCCAGGGAGCCGAGCGCCACGCTCGTCTACAATTCCAAGCCCGGATTTCTGCAACACCACAACAATCTCGTCACTACGGAGCAGCGAAGGGGACAAACGGCGTCGCCCGCGCCTCAGCCCCGCCCCACATGGCGCTCACTATTGGTCCTCTGACCGTCCAAAACCCACCTTGAACCTTTAGTCCCGCCCCCGAAGCCGAGAATTGGCCGTCGTGTCTCCACCCCCCATGCTCATTGGCCAGACTGACTGCGGGTGACAGTGAGTGGCAGGCGCCGGGCCTAGGGCTCCGGGTCCGGACGAACCCAGCGGAGCCGACCGAGCCCCTGGAGTCGCTAGGGTCACGGTTCCTGAGGTGAAACGTGAAACGCGAGATCGGTTACTGAACTCCCAAGGCCCGGGCCGGACCTGACGGGGGGGGTTGCCCGCGGAGCCCTAAGTGAGCTCACGGCGAGTAACGGGGGGAAGGGGCGCCGCGGGAGGGGCAAAGGCGCGCAGCCGGAATGTTTTGATGGCGGGGGCGCGCGGGCGGGGGCGCGCGCGGGCGGCGGGGCCGCGCGCGAGGTTGTCCGCTGTTGGGAGCCGAGCCCTTGGCCTGGCGCCGGGCGACCCTGGGGCGCTCTGGGCTCGGGTCCTGGCGGCTGGGTGTGGGGAGGCAACCCAGCCCACCTGGGCGATCCGCTGTCGGACTGGCTCGATTCTTCCACCATCCGCAGGAACCCCTGAGCCCAGGCCCGGCCAGCCAGGGCTCCATGAGCCTGGGTCCACACTGACCCGGTGAGTGGTGAGTTCCCCGAGGGCTTGGTCAGCTCCTTTGGACCCAGGGCTCTCACTAACCCAGTGAGTCCCACTGGGGTCCGGCTGGGTCGTGTTCCACATCCCGTGGGTCTGCACCGACTGGGTGAGTGCCGTCTAGACATGCCCGGCTGTGGGGACCTAGGGACCCCACAGTTCACCCAGGATCTGGGTCTCCACTGACCCATTCAGGATTTCCCATCCAGCTATGCCTGCCTTTGGTGCTAGGAAAGCAGGGGAAGACGTTGACCAGAAAGGCCCTTTTCAGGAAAGACTCTTTTCTTGGGTTTTGGATTTGGGGCTTTGAGGACCCCGAGAGGCCCAATTTCAGAGGCTGAGGTGGGGCGATGGAAGAACAGTCCAGAGGAGCTGCCTGACCTCGGGCCTGTACTGACTCAGTCTTGACAGGCTCAACAAGCCACTTCTTGGGATCCTAGGGTTGGATGAGTATAGTAAACCAGAGGAAGGACACCTCGCCCAGTGCCTCTTTCCCAACGCAGCTCCCTGCCCCATGCTTGGCCTCCTCTCAGTGGAGGCTGGGTTGGTAGGAGGGCTGGGTTTCTTTCTCTCCCCACTCCCCTCTCTCTGGGGCCTGACACCTTCTCCTCCAGCAGCTGCGGAGCCCGGGCATCAAGGGCTGGAGTGGAGCAGACGCTGTCCATGGAGCTGGTAGGGCCATGTGCTTATCTCAAACCTTTGTTTACAAAGTGCTTCGGGACTGCTAGTCTCTTGGGAGACCTGGGTTTCTCTAGGAGGGAGAGAGAAGTCCCCTTAACTCCACTGCATAGAAGACGAAACAGCCCTCCCCGTCCCCCCAAAAGCAACAGAGTCTTGCTTTAGTCCAGCCAGATCTCAGTAGACACTCAGGAAAGGCTGTGGGAAGGACTGAGCTCCCAGACCCTGAGCTTACTGCTCTCCTTTGGTAACTACTCCTCTGCCTTTGAGCTAAGAAGACTGGGAGTAGAGACCAAGCCCAGGGATTCTTTCTCACTCTTTGTGGTCTACTAGGCAGGGCAGCAGACAAGCAGCCCCGGGGTCTGAACCGGATCTCTTCATCATTACTGGCAGGTGGACAGAGCGGACAGGGGGCGGTGGTGATGGCGCAGTTCGACACTGAATACCAGCGCCTTGAGGCCTCCTACAGTGATTCACCCCCTGGGGAGGAGGACCTCCTGGTGCACGTCCCTGAGGGGAGTAAATGTGAGTTCTCTGACCCGACAGCGCAGCCGGGGCCTGGGGAGAGAGCCGGTGGAGGAATGCTGAGGGAGCAAGGGGCTCCGGCTCCTTCAGGGCTCTGACATCTCTGCTCCTGTACCCACAGCACCCTGGCACCACATCGAAAACCTTGACCTCTTCTTTTCTCGAATATCCTTTGTGTCTCTGCGTTGGAGCTCTGGGACCCTTAGCCCCACTCTAAGCCAGGGCCTGGATGGGAAGTTGGGGTGGGTTTGATTCTAATCCCCGGAAGGGAGATGGAACTTTTAAGTTGAAAGAGGCTGGGGAAATAATGATCATTCTGAATAATGATAACCCTGCATTTCCGAAGAGCTATGTGCCTTTCACTTGGTGGTGTCAGTTCATAAGGACCTTCTCTAAAGGAGATCTTTCTTTTTGATGGGACGCTAATAACTATAATAGTTAATATGTTTTGACTTACTTTGTGTCAGCTCTGTGTTAAATACTTTACACCCATTATCTGATACCTAATAATCCTATGAGACGGGTGTTGTTTTTCCAAAGTACCATTGCAGACAAAAGTTGCGAGAGATTAAGTAACTTTGGCCAAAAGCTCGAAAGTCACAGAGCTGGGAGTTAAGTTCGGGCACGTGATCCCCAAAGTCTGTGCTCCTGATTGCTGTCTCTATCAACCACATTTTTCTTGACAATTATACGTTTATAATCTACACCAGAAGAATGGCTTCACTTGCATGCTCATTGGGGAGATCTTTGAGCTCATGTAAGTCTAAGAAGGGATGGTGATGTGGGAAAGGACTGCATCTCAGTCTATCCTTTTCTTTAGCTCAGCCCTGGCACCTGCAGGTGCAGCTCAGTTCCTGGCTTGAAACCCTACAGACTAATTTTAGAGTTCAGGGACTAGGTGTGGCACCAACATTTATAGTCTCATTTTTTTTTTTTTTTAAATCTTCCAAATCCTCTCTCCTCCATGAGGAGAACTCAAGACTTGATTATTTCATCAGAGCCTGGATGGAATGGGCGTGGTTCGGTCAGGAGGTCTCAGAGATGTCAACTACTTAAGAAAAGTGTGTGTTTGGGGCACCTGGGTGGCTCAGTGGGTTAAGCCTCTGCCTTGGGCTCAGGTCATGATCTCAGGGTCCTGGGATTGAACCCCACATCGGGCTCTCTGCTCAGCGGGGAGCCTGCTTCCCTCTCTCTCTCTGCCTGCCTCTCTGCCTACTTGTGATCTCTCTCTCTAAATAAATAAATAAAATCTTTTAAAAAAAAAAAAGGAAAGAAAAGTGTGTGTTCTGCCTTAGTTACATCTAGGAAGGCAGAGCACAACGCTTTCTAAAATGAAAAAGCCATATGGCCTTGCCAAAGAGGATGCGATTGGGAAACCCTCCTTCAATCAGAAAGACTGTAAATCCCCTTAGGGCTTCTAAATACTATCTCAAAAGGAAATCAAGGATTGGGTAGCAGAGACCACAATCACAAGATCTTTGCGTGAGTCTGGTAAGTGGTGGCAGAGATTACTAAGCGGGGGAGGAAAGCAGGTTAATTGTGTGACGCCCAAGGCTAAGAGGAAAAAGCAGGAGCTGGTTTGGACCTAAGACGGTCCTGGGGGCTGAGCAGCAGAGAGCGCCCACTGGGAGTTCTCCAGCCTCTGCTGGTCCCCAAAGGCTGCTCCAATCTTGTTCTGCTGCTTCCAGACTCTTACCCTTTCCCACACTATTTCACTGGTGCCTCTCTGACTCTTGGGCCCTCGTCCCAATCCCCCAGGCAGTTCCTCTTTGTGGTTGCCTTCACCACCTTCCTGGTCAGCTGTGTGGACTACGACATCCTCTTTGCCAACAAGATGGTGAACCATAGTCTTCACCCGACCGAGCCTGTCAAGGTCACTCTGCCAGACGCCTTTTTGCCCGCCCAGGTCTGTAGTGCCAGGTGAGGGCCTCAGAGGACCCCAGAGCCAGAGTTCCACCAACAGGTGGGGAATGGAGTGGAGTGGGAGGCACATTCTCTCAAACACAGACTCGGCCTCAGTCTCGCCAGCCTTCGGGATAGCATCCTGTCTGCCAAGACTCCTTAGGGGCCACTCCTCGTCCCCTTTCTTCTCCCCAACAGGATTCAGGAAAATGGCTCCCTCATCACCATCCTGGTCATCGCGGGTGTGTTCTGGATCCATCGGCTTATCAAGTTCATCTACAACATTTGCTGCTACTGGGAGATCCACTCCTTCTACCTACACGCTCTGCGTATCCCCATGGTGAGACTGGGAAGTGGGGCTGTTCGCGCCACAGTCCAAGGTGCGCTCAGCAGCTGGGGCCTAGTGGGGTGGATCGCTGGGCCTCGGGCATCCCCCTCGCGGCCTGGTGGTTCCAGGAGCCTTCGCTTAAAGGCTCCCCCCAGCTCCACGAGGGGTCTCACAGCTACTGCGGGGAGAAGAGGAGGAGTCCTGGGCCACAAGCCCACCTTCCCTGGCGGCCCTCTCTCCCACCCCGCAGTCCGCCCTCCCCTACTGCACGTGGCAGGAAGTACAGGCGCGCATCGTGCA